AAGTGCAGGGAAAGAGCCCTGAACAAGATGGACACAGGATGCCCTTGCCACTCCTGGAGCTGACCCCCGGGGAGGAGGGCAGAGAACAAGCTGACACACACTTGAATGAATCAGATGACGGCAGAGAGCGGCTAATGCCTTGAGAAAAATTAAGCAAGGTGATGTGATAGCGAGCGAGGGATCAGCGTCTAGTCTAGTTTCATCTCAGGCTCTGGAGGCACGTGTGGACAGGGCTAGTGGAGAAACACTCCAGGACATGGGCCAGCACAGCCCTCTTGACGCCACCACAGAGCAGAGGCCGGGTGGCCCAAGGAAGGGAGAGGACACCTGACTGGGAGCCAGGAGGTGCCTCGGCCCCCTGCTCATTCCTCAGGCCCTGTAGGACCTCAGGAAGCCATGAATCCTCCTGGGACTCCATACCCTAATTCTGGACAGCATGGGTGGGAAATGATCGTCTTCTCCAGTTGCTGCCTGCCAAGACCCTACGGTGACCTGGCCTCCTGGCTTCCAAGGGGCCCACCCTGTATCCTGCAGGGGACCCGGCAGGAGGGGAGGAATCCTGCCCCCTCTCTGAGGCCATATTCTCCCAGCTGGAGGGAGATGGATTCCTGAAGTGACTGCCCTGACTCAGCAGCCCCTGCAAGGGTTAGAGGAGAGCATCAGGCAGATGGGACCCCGGCCCTGGCTGAGGACTTCACAGTAGGGGACCTTGCCTGGCAACCTTGCTCCTGAGGGAATTCCTAGAGAATGCTCTTCTGTTTTCCATCACCACTTAGAGCCCTGTGAGGCCAGCCCAAGGTGGGGGAAACGGGACCACCCCACTGGATCTACCATCCCCCATGGTGTTCTCTTCAGCCTAGTGGCACCTTCCTGTTCAGGACCCTGCCTGCCCCTGGAACAGCCCAGAAGTCCAACATTTGGATTCTGAGGCTCCTCTCTCCAGGACGGAAGTGGGAGAGAGAGAAGCGAGCTGGCCTGAGGAAATCCCAGAAGGAATCCTAAATCAGTAACCCACATCAGGCTTACTAATATTCCCATGAATAACGATAACGATGGTTAACATTAACTGAGCGCTTATCGGGCACCAGTCACAGCGCTGATGCACAAGTCCTTTGTTGTCTAATTTAATCCTCACAACTACCTTTAAAGAACTACACAACTACCCTAAAAGATTATAAAGATGTACAGAGCATTGCTCTCACTACTTTACAGGTACAGAAACTGAGGCTCTAGCTCCGACCCTCTTCTTACGTCCCTGGATTTTTAATTCTTGTGGCCTCTGGGAGGGAGGTCCCATGACCACCAGTGCACCCAACTTTGCAGAACACCTGCCCCCTGGCCCAGGTTCTAGTCTCCCAGCAGCCCTGTAAACTGGATTGTGTCAAATTTTGCTTCATTTTACCAATGGAAACGCCCTTAAGCCCTAGGAGTGACAAGGCACCCAAACAGGACACGGCAGAGGGCCAGGAGAACTCAAGTGTCCACATTCTTAGCCCACAGTTCTTTCCATGGAGAAAACTGCCTGGGTGACCCCTCCCACTCCGGCCAGCTATGTCACATGCCTGGGACAGTCCCAGCACTCACTGGGCTCCATACCAGAGGAACTGCAATAAAACCACTTTTTATGTTTGCACCCAGCCTCCATATGCACAGGCCCTGGACGATTAGCCCATTTTACAGATGAGGACCTGGAGGCTCGGAGGGGAGGAAGGTCTAGGCCAGGGGCCCACTGCTGGGTAGGCGTTCAGACCCAGGTCTCCCAAGCTCTCCATTAGGGCTGTGCAGCTGCCGAAGGTTACAGCTTGGCTCCTCTCCCCAGTTACTGAAGCTGTGGGTGCTCCAAGAAACAGAAAAAGCCCCCCATCCCTCAGTGACAGCCCACACCCCTAGGGGAGCAAAAACTAAGGGCAGACAAACAAAGGGTCACTCAGCTAATTCTCCCAGATCCTTCGCCCTTGTCACTTCACCCAGTACATAACAGGGCTGGGGGAGTCCCAGACAGTAAGAAGAACTTCCACCTGGCTAAGAGAGCCCTGGGTTCCAGTGCCACCTGTCACCTCGGGCAAATCACAGCCCCTTCCCCAAAGGGGCTTGTCCAACAAGGCTGGGGGATGAAATGGGAAGAGGAAAGTAAGAACCCTCTATTTTTCAGAGAAGCAGCTCTGCGGGGTAACGAGGTACGGGAAGGAAGAGAGGGCCTTGCTCTCTCTTTCGCCATGCTCCCCCCTCCCCGCCCCCACCCCAAACGCACAGGTGCCAGATAGCGTTTGAGAAAAAACTAGTTTGCAAACACACTCCGACTTCTGGGAAGCTGCCCAGTTCCACTTCCTCTCTTTGCTCCCCCTTCGCCCGCAGGGAGCTGACTCTCTAGCAGCTCTCTGGGGCCGGGGACGGAGGGGGGTTGGGGGGCTGGGAGCAGGGCACGGGGGGCGAGGAGCGGGCCCCGCGCCTGCCCGGAGCCAGGCCGAACTCAGCACTTCCGCAGCTGTGATGGTGGCGGGGCTCCACCTTCCTGACGCCCCCAGGCGCCTCCGGGGAGGTAGGAGGGTCCCTAAACCGCTGGGCTCGGACCCCGGGCGGAGCCACCGTCCCCTCTCGGCGCCCTGCCCTCTGTTCCCCCGCGGTCGGGGCGAAGACGGAGCGCCCCCGCGTGGCCGGGTCGGAGCTCAGTCACCCAAACGCCGGAGTCCGGGTGAGCGCGGGTGGAGGGAGGGGGCTTGGGGTTCCGCAGTCCCCCGAAGAGGAACCCAGCTTCCTTCCAAGCCGCCACTGGCACCAGAAGCCGAGCCCCAAGGCCGAACTTGAGCCCTCGCGCCAGGGCGCCCCGCCCGCCTCTTTGGGGCCCCACTCACCTCGGGTCCCGCTACCCTCACCGCGCGGCTGCCGCTCCCCGCACTCCGGGCCACCGGGGCATCCCCGGGAGCTCCCCTGCTCGGCTGGGCCCGCGGGCGCGGGACAGGCTCAGGGCGCTGCCCCCGCGGCCATGGCCAGCTCGCGTGCGCTCGCAGCTGCTCGAGGTCCAGTCCTCCTCCCCGGCCCGGCGGGCAGTGGCGGCGGCTGCTGCTCGGGCTCCTCCCTCGGCCGAGGGCGGGGGCGGGCGTGGGGCGGGAAGTGGGAGGCGAGGCGGGCGCTTCCTGGAGGGGCGAGCGCTCCCACGGGCGGAGCGGGGACGATACCCTGCCCGCCCGCCGCCCGCGGCTGGCGCGCCCAGGCACTCCGGGTTGTCAGTGCCTCGGGGCCCCGAATGTTCGAGGCCAGGATCCGAGTGTCCGAACGTTCGAGGCCGGGATCCGAGGATCTGAACGTTCCAGGCTAGGATTCCGCGGATCGTAACGCAGCTGGTTCGCACTCCCCCCAGGCTGGCCTCGCCCGAGCCGCTGGCACCTCCGAGTTGCCCGCACTGTGCGCTCAGGGCTGCCGACGCGGGATCCTAGGGGTGGGGTCGGCCCGGACCTGCCAGGCCCTAGGGCGCCCTCTGCAGCCTCGACCCCAAGGGCTGTTCGACTCAACGCTGCGCCCTCGGGGGATATACCACGGGGTTTGGTTCTGGGCTGTATTGGGCAGCATTAGGCAGCATTAGGATCGCTGTGTTTTCTTTTTTTTTTTTTTTTCCCGATAGTAAAAGAGCTCGGCGTTTTCTTGTTACCGCCGGACTGGGAAGATGACACAAGCGTTATTTCTCTGACAGAGACGATAAGATAAACACAGTTCGAACAGTGCCTGGGGCTAGTCAGCGGGAGGGCGTCTAGCGGGTCCTTGAGACCTTAGCGCACCGAGTCCGCCCTTCGGCGGTGGCCTTCTTTTCCCTAGAAGAGGCACTGATTCTTAAGAAATTCGTCTGTCGCTGGGCGCTCGTGCTGCAGGCCACTCGGCAGTATTTATGTGCTCGCTCCCCCCGCCCCTCTCCCCTATCCAGTGCCTCAGACAAAGGAGCCTCATTTAACCAGATTGTGGGGGACAGAGCTGGCTCGGGGATCTCAAGACCACGTCCACAGCCCTTGGCCCTGGGGCTCACAGACTGGGCATCTGGGAGTTAACGCAGAACACTTGGGTTGTGGGTTTTCCATTCTAGGCAGGTGAGGGTTAACTGGGAGACTCACGCTGCATTCTGCGAACCTCCCTCCACGTCTGAGTCACAGGCACTTTGCAGCCTTAGAGGGCGATGCTATCAAAGATGAAATAGGGCAATATAATAAAGAGTAATAGTGGGTGGGATTTCTTTAGACAGGGAGCTGAGGGAAGGCCTCTCTGAAATGGCTCTATTTGGGTTGAGGTCTGAATGATGACGAGAGCCATGTAAAGAATGGAGAGAAGAACATTCCAAGTAGAAAAATAGTATGTGTGATAGGCCTAAAATGGGAATGAATTTGACATGACTGAGAGATAGAGAAAAGGCCAGTGTGAAAGGGGCCAAATTATGCAGGGCCTTGTAGGCCATGATGATAAAGTTTGGATATTATTCTGGTTGCAATGGAATGTCACTGGAGGTCTTGAAGAAGGGAGTAATTGGACTTGATTTCAGCTTTCAAAAGATCACTCTGGCTGGTGTATGCAGGATGGGGAAATTGGAGGAATGAGGACTAGATAGTAGACTGTTTCAGTGGCCCAGGAAAGAGATGATGGTGGCTAGGGCTATGGGTACAGCAGTGGAGATGGTGATAATGGATGGATTCGGGACCTATTTTTCAAGTAGAGCCTAGGTTTGAATGTGGGATATGAGGGAAAGAAGAAATGAAACCTAGTCTCTTCTCCCCACCCTCCCCCTCAAAACCCCGACCTCCATCCATCCTTCTTTACTCCAAACTCTCATCTTGCTTCCAACTAAAGTCCTCAAAGCCCTCAGCCCAGCTGTGGGGCAAACCAATCTAGAGGTGTTCTTAGACCCAGCTGCAGCCCCTCTTCCTCCAGAAAGCCTTTTCTGATTGATCTGGCCCCCAGAATCCCTCTCCTCTCCTGGCTCCAGAGCAGGAGAGCCAGGCACTGGGATGGATAGTGGTGAACCCAAGCAGAGAGTGCCTCCCCTCATGCTGCTCACCTCTCGGGGGCAAGACCACAGCCCAGGCAATCATATTACTGTATGAAAAGTGCAAAGGTTTGAGGCAGGGTTGTTCAGAAGACCCAACTCAGCCAGAGGAGTCAGCGAGGCTTCCTCTCAGAGACCTGAAGTATGAGGTAGTTGGGCCTGCTGAGGGGGGAAAAGATACCTGATCCCTGGCCAAGGGCGGAGCACAGAGGCCACAGGTTACAGCAATTCCACTCCGAGGAAAGGGAAATGAAAACATACATCCATACAAAAACCTGTACATGAATGTTCATTGCAACATGATTCAGAATAGCCAAAAAATGGAAACAACTCGAAGGTCCATCAACCGATGAAGGATAAACAAAATGTGGTCTCTGCATACAACAGAATAGTATTCAGCCACAGAAAGTATGATGTATATGCAATATGGATGAACTTTGAGAACACTGTGTTAAGTGAAAGAAGCCAGTCACAAAAGACCACATATTGTATGGTTCCATTTATATGACATGTCCAGACTAGACAGAGCCATAGAGAAAGAAAGCAATGATTTTAAATGTTTTAAAATTATAGTGATAGTTACACAACTGTAGATAAAACCATTGATTGTATACTTTAAAGAGGTGAATGCTATAGTATGTGAATTATATCTCAATAAAGCTTTTTTTTAAAATGTCAGGGCTCAGGAGAGCCCAGAGGTCAGTTGTCTAAGGCCAAGTGTCTATCATGGGTTGATTCTGCAGTCTGTCTTTAATCCACACACAATACAAGGCTGTTACTACAAAATGTTGAAGTCTTTCTTTGCCCTGATAGAGACTTCTCTGTGCACAATTGGGAGGCCTCAATTTCCCTAAATAGGCTGATATTAGGGTATGTGCACGCATGCGCATATGACTTGTGGATTAAAGTGACTTGAAATAGCACCACCTGCGTAGCAGGCCCTGGCTGGACTCAGGTGTATGTGAGCTGGGAGAGGATGGAGGGTGTCCCAGTTATCTATGCTACATCTCAAATCACCCCAAGCATTATCATCTCTCATGGCTCTGGGGGGCCTCTGGGCTCAGCTAGGGCAGTTCTTGTTCAGGATTTCTCAGACAGTTGCAGTCAGACCATGACAGGCCCTGGAGTTACCTAGAAGGCTTTCACACACATTTGTCTGGAAATTGATGCCGGCTGTCAGCTGGGACCTCAGTTGGAACACCTACCCGTGACTGTTCCATGTGGCCTGGGCTTCCTGGTAGCACGGTGGCTGGGTTCCAAGAATGAGTATCCCAAGGGAAACAGGTGGAAGCCTTATTATCTTTTATTGGACGCGGCTTTGGAATTCATATAATGTCACTTCTGCTGTAGTCACTGGCTCTCTCCATAGACCCCGCCCCTAGGTGAGAGGAGTGTCATTGTCATTTGTGGGAAAAGCATGTGGGCGGGGAGAGGTTACAGTGGCCATCTTTGGAAAATACCATCTGCCCACAAAGGGGGTTGATGTGGAGACACATCAGCGATGGAGACATCCCCTCATGGATCTCACGGAGAGAGGTGGGTGTGGCTCACTGCACTCCTACATCTCAGGCGTAGAGTCATGGCCCCGGCTTTGAATCTCAGCCTGTCCAGTTACTGCCTGGGTGACATCACTCAATGCTCTGGGCCTCAGTTTCCTCCTGTGTAAAATGTAAGGATGGATTTAGTATCTGGTGTCTAGCCTGGTACCAGGCATGCCTAGACCCCAGGGCTAGCATGTTGTTATTGCTACTTTTAAGATCCAGGATTGTGGTCACTCTAATGCAGGGATATCCCCTTCCAGGGTCAGGATGTCCATGCCTCCCTCCACCTCCCCAGGTCCTCCAGTCAGCCCCAGACATCTCCATCAGCCCCAGTCTTGCACTGTACTATGCATGTGTGTGCAGGGGCGGGGCCTATGGGCACAGCCCAGGAGACTTGACACCTCTGGCTTAAGGCACTCAACCTGGGGACCCCAGCTGGCCTCTGTTCTCTTGCGAAAGTTCCTCTTCTGTCACCTCCTCCTCAGGGCAAGGTTGATTTCTGGGCAGCCAGGGCAGGGCTGGGGCTTGTGTGGGATGAGCAATAAGGTGTGGCTTCCAAGGGCTGAAGGGGAGGGAGGACTCCAGCTCTGGGGGGCTTCGAGACACACTGGGGTGGTGGGGTGCTGTACTGGCGTGGCTGGGGGTTGGGAGGAAGACCAGCTGTCCCTGGGCCCAATCCTGGGAGGATCTGTACCAAACCAGCCACTGCAAGGTCTTTTCTAGGAAGCTCTGGATGTGTCCAGAGGGCATACAGAGCTCTGGCTGGGGCCACCGCCCTCGGGCCTGGCCTTGGCCAGGCAAGGGAGGGGCTGGGGGGGGGGCCAGAGGCAAGGTCAGGAAGGTCATATGGCCCTCTCGCCTTCCTGGGGACCCTTCTCTTTGAACATACAGACCCACAGACCAGTTAAGTCCCCAGCCAGGATCACCCCAATATCCTCCCTCCCTTAGTGTTCCAGAGTTGGAATCTGAGCTCCACTGAATGCTTGCTGTGGAATCTTGGGCAAATCTTGTTTCTCTCTGGGCCTTATTCGTAAAATGGAGGACATTGTTATTGAGGTTGTGGCTATGGGTCTAGAGGAGGTCCCAGAGGGTGAAGCCCTACAGAACTGTAACCAGGTGAGGCAGGAGACAGAGGATTCAGATCCCACCTGAGGGAGTGTAGAGATGAAGCATAAGGTCATCTTTGCAGCTGGAGAAAGTAGGTCCTTGGGCTCTGACTCATTTTGCTTGTGCCCTCACTATACAGATGAGGAAACTGGGGCAGCACCTGTGGGATTAAGAGTCACAAAATTTGAAAGTTGTTGAGAGAGCAGATCCTAAGAGTTCTCATCTCAAGAAAAAAACTTTTTTTTTCTTCTATTTGTATCTTATAGGAGATGATGGATGTTAATAAACTTATCATGGTAATCATTTCACAATATATGTAAATCAAGTCATTATATCACACACCTTAAACTTATACAGTGCTGTATGTCAATTATATCTCAATAAAACTGGAAAGAAAAAAAAGTTTAAAAAAAAAGGTCGTGAAGACCCAGGTTCAATTCCTGGTGCTACCACTTACTAGCTTTCACTTACTATACTTTCACTTACTATACTTTCACTTACTATACTTACTAGCTTACCTTTGGGCAAGTTAGGAAAAATCTCTGGGTCTCGGTGTCCTCATCTGAGAAAGGAGGGTCACCAGGATCTACCAGGACAAAAAATAAGGTAGGTGCAAAGGCTTACCTCGCCTCTCTGAGGGGCAGCATACTCCAGACTAGTGGGTCTCCAATGCTGGCTGCACATCAGAACCACCTGCAGAGCTTTCTAAATACCACTCTAGTCTTAGAAAGGCAGCTTTAAAAGCTCCCCAGGTGATTCTAATGTGCAGTCAGGATTGAGATCTACTCACTGGTCTGCAGTTTCACTAAGTGTGGGCCAGCAGCATTACTTGGGGGCTTCTTAGAAATGCAGAATCCCAGGCTCCGTCCCAGACCCGCTGAATCAGAACTTGCAAGTTAACGAGATCCACAGATGATTCAATGCACGTTGCAGTGTCTGTGACTATGATTTTTCAGTTCGAGAGGTACTGGCCTGGACAGTGGATTTCAGACACGTGTATGTTTAGGGGAAGGACAGAGCGGGCAATTTGGGAGGATTTGAGACCGGAGTGGGTGGGAAGGAAGATTCTGTGACTCCCATCAGAAAGGTGGATATTCAGTCTGTAAAACCATAGGATGGAGGCCAAGTGACAAAGCAGCAAAATGAGCTGATCCCAGCCTGGCAGTTAGACATGGGAACTTACCAGCCCGATTACCTTCTTAGTGGGAAGACTCACGCGTAGAAACAGGGAGCACCATTTTGATTACACTGCTTACTGGCCCAGAGCCTTACTTTTCTTTGAATTTTATCTGTTTTCATAGATCTGTTTAAACTGAGCTTACCTTGGGAAGGAAAGGGGCAGGGAGACCTCATCAGCATGGGGTAGAAAAATAGTCCAGGCCTCCAAACAAGTAGGTGGCAGGAAAGGAAGTTTCTTAATGAAATGAGCATGGTGACCGCACCTGACTTGGGCCCAGGCGGCTCTGCGGTGCTGACAGTACTGTGGTGTATTTCAGGACAGCTGCTGCAAGTTTCTTGGAGTTTAGAACTTGGGCAGAGCTAAAGGGGAAAGAGGAAGGGAAAAGGAAAACAAATAAGCAGCAAATGAAGTGTCTCTGAGCTCTGGGCTCTGCGTGGTGTGCGGTTCACCTGGGCTGGAGCTTCTGGTCGGTACTCTGTTCCTTCCTCATCTGTGACCTCCCCGGTCGAAGGCTCCTCAGGCTTTGTGGAATTCATACTCCAGTCTCAGGCAAGGGGAGGAAGACGTGCAAGCCTCCTTGGCGTGAAGGTGCACCCTGATGGCCTTGGCATCATTTCCCAGAAGGGAAAGACTGAATTGGGACTCAAGGTTTCCAGGTACCTGCCCATCCCCTCCCCCAGGACCAGGCTGATGGCCCCACTTGATGCCAGGTGTGCCCTGATCCTGGCCCGATAAAGAGTGTCCCTGTGTGAGGTGTGGGTGTTTGGCACTTGGCTGGAGGACTTTCTCCTCATGCTTGGCAGGGGACCGAGGACAACATGGAGGGTGGCAAAGGTCAAGGCCAAACCATCCAGGTGAGCCACAAGCCGGCTGGGACATCCCAGGTTCCCAAGCCAGGTGGGAACAGCCCCTAGCATCACTTCCTAACTTCATTCTGGGTACAGTGGTGAAGTTATCTCAGGACTCGCCAGTGGGCCAGCCTGCCCTCCAGTGGTGCTCAGTAGTAACTGCACCCTCCCCGCTCCACTTTTCACAGTGGAGTGCAGCTCTGGAGGAAGGCTCCCCAGATATGGACTTGTTCAACCCACAGGTAGGTGATGGAGAGGCAGTGCTGTTCTCCTGCCATTTCAAACACCTCTTCACTTCATACGACATTCAGCCCTAAAAGGGAAGAGAACGAGCTTGTAACCAGTACCTGCTTCTTCATACTAGGGACTTTGTACGCTTTGCTTCCCTGACGCCTCTGAAAGTCCTGGGGGCCAGGGGTGTTACTAACATGTACAGAAACAGTTCCTGGCCTTGAAGACAGGCAGCAAGGGGTCAAGTCACATTCCATTCCGTGCCCGTCTGACTTGCAAAGCCATGTTCTTGATGTACCACCTGGCCATGGAAATCCTTTAGCCAGGAGTTCCCAGGCTCTCACAAGGACCAGGCAAGCAGCAATAGTGAGAGGGGATACACTGGGGAGTGGTGGGGACTGTGGCAAACTGAGGGATGTGCGCCACATCTAAAGGACACAGTCAAACATCCCCAGCAGATTACTCTTGAGTGGGAATGCTGGACTAGCACCTACGAGAAGCTGAAAATCTGAATTTTGGGTCAAAGTTCCCAATTTAAAATACTGACAGTTAAATCAGAAAAGAGTGTAAATATAATGCAAGCCAAACAAAGACTGTTTCTGACACTATGGGCTTCTACCATACCCTCATGGTGCAGGTGAGCCCTGGAGAGAGGTCATCACTTGCCCACGATCACATGACCACATATAGAGACAGAGTCTGGACTTGACCCCATGCCTCCTGACTCCCAGGCCAGTGTTCCTCTCAGCATTTCTCTCTGTAGTCTGCCCTGCTCTCCAGTCCCCAGGGCAGGGGGTGAACCACTTCTGACTTTGGTGAGGTGGTGGGACACATCAGACTCAGTCTAGAGGCTGGAAGATCACCCACATTTATTGGTTAAACTTGGCTTACAGTGTAGCAGGGCCACACTTTGGCCCTCTTGGAAGTAATGAGAACACTGTGTAACACATGCAGCCCCTGGGAGCTGACTCAGATTCTGCTGAGATAGTGGCTTGATCCAGTGGCCTTACCTGAATATTTTGGCAGTCCCCACCCCCTGCACCCTTAGGCATAGCTTCGTCCCTTACACAGCACGGACTGGGCCTGTCCAAGGTCAGGCTGGCTCTACCTGGACCTGGGCCTAAAGTCCTTGGAAACTAAGGGAGAGTGGGTGATCCAATTCACAGATGGGAAAACTGAGGCTTGAGGCAGGAGGATACTCATCTGGAAGCCTCATGGCTAAATCCCTGGCTTGGCCCATGGCCTTGGCCCTCGGGCCACTGGGCTGGTCAGTGATTGGATGCTCTCCCTATCCCATTCTGGGCGGAAGACATTTTCTGGCTTAGCTGCTCTGGAAATGCAATTTATAAATACACACTTGGTTTAAAAAAGTAATAAATTAGATCTTGGACCTGCCTGAGGGCATCTGGCCAGCCACATGGCATGGACATTTGTCATGTCTTATACATCACATGTAGTGCTAAGACCCATGACATTAACCCACAGGCCACACTGCAGGTTTCATGCAATGTCACATGTAATGCTGTCACGTGTGACCTTCTGTATCACGCATCACACCATGACATGCTCATTGTGTTACATGTTTCTTGCTGGTCATGCATGTCCCACGGTATGTAGGGTAGTCTATTGGCTATACTAGACTCTGTTTCCAAAAGGTCCTCCCCGAAGACTGTTGCAGGAAAAACCTGTCTCTCCCTCGTGGGGCAGGGTACAGGCACAGCCAGCTGAGGCTCTCTTCCTGAGTCCTCTATCCCAGTGGGTGGAAGCTGGCAACACTCGGCTGCATTCGAAAGGTCTCGAGGGGCCATCAAGTGCTGTGAGGGACCTGTGGCTGGTTGTCGAAGAAAGCAAAGTCCAGCCTGGGCTCCTGGCTCTGCAGACGCTGGGCCATGTCCGGGGGGATGGGGTTATTCCAGAGGCTGTGGGGCACAGAGACAGACTCTTCTCAGCACTGGGAGCTGCTCACTTATTGTCTTGTCTCTGCCCTCTGCCCTCTGCCCTACCTACAGATGGGGAAACCAAGGGCCCAAAGGGTAAGAGCTGTTTCCAGAGTTACCTGGCAGGCAGCAGCAGGTATCAGGCCAGCATGGCTACCTTAGGGAGATGGTATCCCCCATGCCCACCCGGAATTCTTCCACTCAATCTTTTTTTTTTTTTTGGCTACAATGCACGGCATGCGGGATCTTAGTTCCCTGATCGGGGATCGAACCCATGCCCCCTGCAGAGGAAGCATGGAGTCTTAACCACTGGACCGCCAGGGAAGGCCCCTCCACTCAGTCTTCTTCCCCGGGAGCTAGCTTCCTCCCCAGGCCATGCTCATATGACACATTAGACAAATAAGGAAAAAGCTCCCCTTCTTTAAGACACTTTACTTCCATCGTCTGAAATTGTCATAATATATTGTTTTATAGAGCAAGGCACTTCACTACTACTAGAAACTTGACACGTCTACTATGTGAGTGGTGTCCCTTAGATGCAATACCCGGAAGTTCAGTGCGCCACCTATACAACTGTACGTGGCAGCCCTGATGATAGCTACCATTTTAAGTGCTTACTATGTGCCCGGCATTGCGCTCAGTGCTTTATATAATCATTTACTCTGCAGAGCACCTCTCTGAGGTAGATACTATCACTACCTCCATTTTACAAAGGAGGAAACTGAGGTTCAGAGAGGTTGAGTTACTGATGCAAAGTGATGCAATCGGCAACTGGCAGAGCTGGGATTTGATCCAGGTCTGCTTGCTGCCAAATCCCTGATGGTGCAGTCCAAGTCTCTTTTGATAATTCCCGACCCAGGTCCTGCCTTCTCCTACAGGAGGTGCCTTTACGTTGTAGAGGTTGGTGTGCTCACCCCAGCCCCAACCATCCCTGCCCCTGCAAGTCCTGTTACCGAATGACTTGGATGCCAGACCCCTGCGCCAGCCCTTCAGCCAGAAGCCAGGCTCCATAAGCTGTGATCCGATTCTTCTCCAGACTTCCCGACGGATGGCGATGGCGGAGGAAGGGGAAAGAGACTGACGTGAGACGGTGAGATGGGGAGGAGGCGGCCGGAGGGGTGATTCCCTGTGTCCCTTTCCTGTGCCCAGTTGGGCGGGGGGAACAAAGGCTCCCCACACACGTGCTTAGAGAAACTCAACATTCAGCAGTGCAGCAGGAAGACGGAAGGCCGGGACCCAGGGAGAGCTAAGCTTGACAGGGACTTGGAGTGGACCGGAGTGACCAAGTCCAGGAGGGCTTCCTGGGAGTCAGGGGCCTGACCCAGTGGCCTCTTGGCTTTCCCCAGGACACAGGTCCCCCTTTGGCCCTCCCCACCCCCTTCTGGCTTCCCCGGATGTGCCCCTCATACTCCATTCTCTTCAGCCGGCCCATCTGCGGCAGGACCCGGGCCAGTTCAGCAGCTGCCTCATCCCCGAGCAGATTCCAGGACAGCCTACAGGGTAGGGGTGCCAATGTCAGTGGCAGGAGAGCAGTGAGGGTAGAGACAGGGGGCAGGTGGGGAGGGCTGGGGGCCACGGGGATGGGGGAGCACCACGGGGTCCTGCGGGCCCTCCCTGAAGGCTCTACAAGGCACAGGAGGCTCCTTCCTACCTCCCCACCCCATTCCCGAGCTGGTCATCCCTCAGAACCCAGACAGCTTAGGAGCTGGCTGTCCTGAGAGTTCAGAACACGAGGTCTGTGGAAACATCATGATCCAGACTTCCACCGTGCATGTGCCTCCATCCTGACTTTGCTACATCCATGTACCGCCTATATTATGTTTCATATTTTTCTTTAAATCAGTCCTCCGTCCCCTCTTTTTTTTTTCACTTTAAGAAACTGATCTTAGGAAACATTTATCACTACTATCAATGAAAGACTTGTGTTAAGGACCCTAAGTAGAAGGTAGTTACAAGGATAAATACAGTGCAAACAATGGTATCAACTTCTAGCTGGAACCTGCATCCTTCCTAAGGCGCTAACCCTGTGGTCTGCCTGCTGCTGGCTAAAAAGGGATAATCAACAGTGTTTGGTGAGTTAGCCCTGATCTGAGACTTTCTCTTTGGCATAAAGTAATGAGAAGAATTAAAATCTTTAGGATGCAAACCTAAAATCTTGTAATCCCTTGTGTCCTGTACTTAAGGAAATCCCATTTTCTTCCACCATGCTCAGGGGCCCAGGCTAGTCCTGGCAATCTAGTTTATCCCTGAGGCAGTACTGCCAGGCCCCAAGGTCCAAGCACCTCTGATGGCCAAGAGGGAGGTGGGCATGGCCAGTGGGCAGGTCGGGGGGCCTGCTGGTTTCAGCCACTCCTCACTACCAACAGGTGGCTCGTAAATCAAGGCTCCATAAACCCGGTGAGATAGTCTATCCAGACGCTTCCCAAAGGGACAATCGGGAAATGGTCCTAACCATCTCCATCTGGTCCACTGCCCCCTCACCCTCCACAGGTGGGGAAACAGGCAGGAAAGGGTGAATGGCTTAGACAAACAACACTCGCAGCTCAAGTGTTAAAACTTCCTCGAGAGGAGCTTTGAGAAAGAATGACCTTCCCTGTACAAGATGGGAAGACCTCCAGGGAGGAAGGAACCAGACCCCCAGGTGCCCGCTTTGCCCAGCTCAGGGCTCTCCCAAGCACTCACATGATTTCTTCCAGGGCGGGACAGAGCACAAAGCTGGCAGTGAGGGGCTTGGCAGTCTGGTTGTCAATCTCACACGACACCAGGCTGGAGACGGAGACAGAGATGGAGAAGGGGATGGGATGGAGGTATCTGAGTCAGGGGCACCCTCAGCCCAGTGCCCCTCTCCCCTAGTGCCCCAATCACAGCAGAAGGAAGCAGAGTGGCCAGCATCTGGCGCAGGCTGGGAGTCTTAGGAAAGTGCCCCCTTATTTTTTAGTTCCAGGCTCCCCCCATACCTGAGGCCTCTGTCACTTCAAAAGCCTTCCCAGGTATCAGGCTCAGCCAGAGAAGGATTGCCCCCTACTGCACCCCAGCTCCCCGGGTAGTCAGAGGAGGCTACTTACTCGATCTGCCGGAGCAGTGGGAGCCCCAGACGGAAATGTGGGACCCCTCCGGCCAGGTTGTTCACTGCCAAGCTGCAGGGCAGGGGAGACACCCGTGAGAGGAAGCCCCAGACCACCCCCCCAGGCCTGGCCCCCTGCCCAGGCTCCGCGGCCTCTACTCACCTGATCTCTTCCATGTGTGGGCATCCATCCAGGGCCTGGCCCAGGCTCAGTGCTCCCTCTGGGCCAAGATGACTGGATGGCAGGCTGAGGAAAGGGAAAGGGTAGGGGGAGCCTGAGGGACCAGGTATGGGAACTGCGGGGGCTAGATCCCCCCACCCTGAGCCTTGTCTCAGGCTGCACTGCCAGACCTTAGACAGTCTCTGGGTAACTGCCACCCTAACCCCTCTCCCCACCCACATAGGACCTGGGTGGGTATCAAGGGCCCTGGCTTTGGGGTCTGAGATCCCAAGCTCAAGGCCTGGCTCCTTGATGTATTAATAGGGTAAGCTTTCCACACCTCTCTGGGCTTTAGTTCCCTTGCCTGGAAAATGGAGCAAGTAGAAATCCCGGCCTCACAGGGCTCAGATGAGACCATGGACATAAACTGTAAAGTAGCAGGTCACTTCTCCTGCGTAGCCCTTTGCTGACACTTCCTCACTCACCCTCGGAGACTGGCTCACAGGGTACGCTGAGCTATGAGGAAACTGAGACTCAGAAGGGGCAGGGGCTTGGCCAAGGGCTCACAAGGGGCTGGTGGCAGAGCCAGGACAAGGCTGGGTCTCCTGATTTCCCTGCCCCAGGCTCCAGAGGCAGGGGAGAAGCAGGCGGGGGAGGGGCAGCCAGCCCCAGCACAAGCCACAGTTTCCCCTAAGGCAGGGCAGCTCAGCTGATGGGGGCCTTGGTCCCCTAGTGCTCCTGGGGGAACCACTCCCGCTAACCCTGCACACACCGCGGGCAGGGGGCCACTCACTGCAGGACCCTCAGGTGCCGGGGCAGCCCCCTGGCCAGCCCCAGGGCTGTGGGGTCTCCCAGGGTGTTGCAGCCGAGCCTGGAAGAGGAGAGGGGATGAAATTGAGCACCAGGCTGGCCTGCTCCATACCCCTGCCCTGTGCCCACTGGGGGACCCAAGGGCCAGGTGGCCTGCGGGGACACAGAGGGCAGGCCCCCCCCCCCCCCCGCCGCAGACCCACACACTCCCCCGAGTCG